TTAAGGAATTTTTACCGCCTTTCCAATAATGACTCATGAGTCAGAAGCAGGTAGTAAGACACTCAGGTATTAGTTGAGGAAAAAGCTAAGACGTTTCATTATTTCTATTCTCAGAGTTATAATTATTCTGTCAGAGCAGTAGGAATAAGAAGATTATAATTAGATAATAAAGCACTTGTCACTAATCTAACCAAAGTTAAGGCAGCTCCTTAATGCACACCAAGATGGCACAACACTGCTGAACGGCCCTGCACTCGCACTCCCATACGAAGCAGTGATTCTCTTTTCTTCCCTGACTGAACCACGTCTTAACATAACACTAAGAAAAACGACTTTCCTGGAACATACGCCGGGGATAGAGGACGACTGAGAACACTTGACAAGGCTAGCTCTGGGGGATTGTTTTTGTTGTCTCATCAAAGCTTTCTGTTTTTTCCCCAACACTTCTCAGGTGTTGTGTTTATGGTATGAAACGTGAAAAAAGGGTCACTGGAAGGAACCGCGCAGCCCACATGGGTTAGCTGCTGTTGCTACAGACACCCACACGAGGAATCGATACAAGTCAACAGGCAAACATCACATCTCACATCTGTGACTGTGAGTTTGTTGGATCTGCGTGCAAAACACATGCCAAGAGTTTTACACGTGCGAACTGTGTGAATTAAAGAAGATCTCACTTCTCACATCTGGAGAAACACAACACTCTGTGAAACATATATCTTTGTTGAGGGATATATTTATATACGTGTCTGAAAATAATGGAGTGTGGAGAAGTGGGAATACATTTGGCCGAACACACTCCAAATGCTGTATCGGCAATCTGTATCGGCATGTACAGATAGGCAATTATCTTAGCAGATATGAGCAGTGCTGCAGCGTTAAGTCTCTAATTTACAGACGGCGACATCATTAGGTTGATTATCCGCAACTAATCAACCACTGATTTGTTTGACAACTCATTCCTGATGGTTGACTAATTGTTTTGAGTGAGTTCTCCTTCTTGAATGTCATAATCCTAGCTTTGAAGATCATCACGAAACATTACAGGCGATTTATATCTTCTTATTTGTACTAATTATTGGACGAAACAATAAGTCAAATAATATATTAATAATTATACAGTCATGCTTTGACACAGATTCCATCATTCTGAAAAAGATTGAATTTGTATTTTTTAACATTACTTTTCATTTTCCTTGTGCTTCCCAGTTTCAGATATTTGCTCCGCTCTCTTTCTGTCTCCCGGTCCGACAGACATTCACACACAAACACAGGCCAAGAAATGACAGGTTTTCAAAAAATACATGAACACACACAACAGCCCTCTCCCTTCGGGGAGCCTTCAAACCTATTTTGTCTCTAAAAGCCTACTGCAGGGGGGGTTGGGTAGAAATGATTCCTGACACGACTAATCACAGAGCTGTGCTGGGTGAGCTGCCTGATATCAACACATTTCCACCAGACTGTGGACAAGTGAGGCTGAGGGATTTGCAATAATTTCCCCTGACTGTAGTTCTGGCTGTGGCTGCTCCATCGACTGCAGTTACTGATGCCGGTCCACTGTGAGGCTTCACCCGCTCAAAGGCCGTCTCATGGAACACTGGAAACTCTGGTTTCCACCCTGTTTTCACATTCGTTCGTTGAAATGGAAAGTTTATGTAATGGTTCACGAGCAGAATAAATTATAATTTCATGCAGTTAGTTGCCTCCCTTTCAAAGACAAAAAGATTCTGCTGACGTGGAGTCTCCAGATTTTGATACATTGTTTCAGCTTCAAACTAGCAGGACATACTGTATAAAGTTCCAAACTGTGTCAACTTTTTAAAACTGTTAAAACCTAAATTCAGAGAACAGTTACAGCTATTAAAAAAAAAAAGTCAATCAAATAAAAAAATGTTTAAAAGAAAACATTGTTTGCATCACTGTCTGCATAGTAGGGATACAGAAAAGGGTGATGCAATCAGTTAGCAAAAGAAAGGCTGTGCTTGTTAAAACTTTTTTGCACCGGTTACTGAATGTTTCAAACAGACACAGTATTTCTAAAAAACTGAATCAAGCCTTTCAGCATATAACCAATCTGTGATGATTTAACGATTAGACAGGGAAAGTGATTGTTTTCTTGAAAATGCGTTTGAGCTGAAGGAAGAAAATTGACCAGCGAACACCTGCCGACTCCACTGTCAAACTTCCAAATGCACAGCAGGAGTAACTACACTAGTTCTGCACTCTTTACAGTCCTGCTATGAACTCAAAAGTCTTTCTGTTTTTGTCTTAAACTTCCTGATGTTCAGACTTCACATGCTGTGATGCTTGGAGGCCCAAGTGACCGCAGTATCACTGAAACACCTTTTTGGACTTTCTTCAGTCCAGTAAGTAAGTTCTAGCTAAACAGCCCCATGATCCTGGAATCAGACAAAGAGATGTGGACAAAAATGCTCCGATACAATGAACTGAGATCTACTGGAAATGGAAAACTGATTATATTAAATAAATAGTAATGATGTGACACCTTCACATTCTTGCAGTGTTGCATCCAATCATTTCATGTGGGTACTGTGTGTGTTCTGAAATCAATACATGTAACCTAAAGGTTAACTGCGGGGAAGCTATTGCAAACTTGTTGGGAACGACCAACCAGAAAAGTACTGAAAACATTCTTCTCCAACTGAACATGCCAAGTTCGAGGATGCTAGCAACAGGACAATAGCAGGGTTTTCTTTTTTGCTGCTATGTTAGCAGCATGCTGAGTGCTAACCCTTAACCTGCAGTTCACTTTTCAAATAACGTTTAGACAATTAACTTTATGACCAGCCAACAAACGGTTTGCTGCAGTTCATTTGTAGTCATTTCATGAAATTATCTTTTGAGATAAATACACAACATGAGCCTAAAGATGTGTATAGTGTTGGGTCGATAAAACATCATCCAGGATCAAGAAAGTGGTGTTAGCAGGTCCACTGTCTGTAACAGGCAGCTCGATCATGTTCTTCTTTATACTAAAACACCTCTAGCAAACCATTCGAGACAGTTCTTTATCTTCCTGTGCAAGTAGTAACATGGTGGTGAATTGCCTCACTCAGTCAAAGTACAGGAAACAGTGTGAAAGAAGAAAGAACGAGTGGGCATCAAGCATTTCAACATACAGCAGCGTGAGGTACCTGAGTACTTCAGGTGCCAGGCTGCAGCTCTGTCAAATCTGCCCCGACCCCCGTACACGGTTTCCCCTTGACTGAAGATTTGAGTCGGTTCATAAGTACCTGCACCATGTCAGTCACAGGGACAGGACCCTGGTGCTGATCTTCAGAGCGGAATATGCTGCTACTGGGAAGTTAACTGTTACTATGACATGACAGCTATGAAGAAAACCCAGAAAATGTTTCAGTGGCAGTTACTCCAGCACATTTGGACTGAAGAAAACCCAGAAAATGTTTCAGTGTCAGTTACTCCAGCACATTTGGACTTCCCTGATTTCCCAGAACCAATGAGCCTTTAACAATGAGCCTGACACAGTCAATCCCCACATTGGCAAGGATGTGTCTTTTGTCATCTTTCACCCTGAAGGGTACTGCCTGTAGATACAATATGTGGGAAGCCACGTCCATGTGTTGTTGGTGAGCTTTTATGTAAGTCAATGTCACACAGATCTCTTAACTGAGGTGACAGTTTAGGAGTCAACAACTGTCCACATGACAGAGACACTGTGTGACCCCCAGAAGCAGCATAATATTCCTCTAATTTTGTACAACCTTACTGTGCCACCATAACCTGCATGGCTCCTTCCATTATTTATATACATACATTCAATGGAAAAATACACATCCAAGAGAGTTTAACAAGCAAAAAGCAAAAGGGGACTATGGGAGTTCTTGGCCGCCCCATGGCCTGGTCTGCCTGTCTCCATCACAGTCACTGTCCTTGTCACTGTTAGAAAAATGAGAAAAAGAACCCCGGGTGGTTCCTTGAGGTTATTTGAGTGGTCCTGCCAATGCCAACACATTTACTGCTTGTTGTACATGTTACTGCTTAGGAAAGTACAAACACTGTACAATAACAAAATTGACTTGGATGCTCCTGAGAATGGAATGTAAGACAAAGTACTCCGCCATGAGATGCTTTTAGTGGGCATGTACACGCAAGTGGGAATCCAAAGTGTGCTGACAAGAATTCAGGACAGTGTTTAGAATTCTATAATCTTCATTATTTGTTATTATATTTGATTTTATTTATTCGACTGCACACTAGATTCTCCTTCAACTTCTTCATTTAGCATCAGTAATGAAATGTGACGTGCGTACAATTTCTGCTCCTAAATATTGGTACATAATTTGTATAGTGCCATTTACAATACTTAATATTTTAATTTTGGCTGTTGACAAAAAATGTCAGGTATGGCCCCAGAAGTAAATACTATACTGTACAATAAGAGGAGAATGTAAATTGACAAATACAGAGGGAAGACATTACATCAAAGAGAACATTCTGTAAAGTTTGGATAGATATACGGAATTAAAAATAATTCTTCTTACATTTGTACCTGGGACAGAGGGGCCCATTAGAAAACTTCACTCACCATTGAGTCAGAAAAGAATAAAATAGATCAAATAATATGTGCAGTAAGACAGTGTCTTTGACTCCTGTATCCTGGTGACATCACAATTCACAGCTGCTGATGCAAGTTAAAAAAAAACAGGGGCAGAGCAGAGTCTGGTAATGTCAGTAGAGCAGATGACTTCTTCAGCAGCTCCAGCCTATAAACACTCCTGGGTATACGGTACTTGCTAATTTCTAGACGATTCAGTTACAGCTTCAGAAATTCGACATCAGTACTACATTTGAGAATATACGTTTAGTGTTTAGTTGTCGTCACAGGACTCTAGAGATGTGTTTTGTTTTTGTTTTGAACAGGGAACTTCGTGTGTCGTGTCTTAGTACAGACAAATGTATAATAGTCGTGCACTGAATATATGACATGATACTACATTTTATAATAAAAAACTCACCTTCAAGAATGACCTCTTTGCCAGTTTTCTTCAGCGCTTGCACCGCCTCATCGTGTGTGGCCTCCCGTAAGTCAAAACCATTGACAGACAGAATGGCGTCGCCGACGTATAGAGCTTCGGTCTGGTCAGCTGCCAGACCCTTAAAAATCTTGGAGATGAGGATCGGCATCTTGTTCTCTCTCCCACCTGCGAGAAACATCAGAAAATGTGTTTGTTTTTGACTGCATTTGAACACTAACAGGACAAAAAGACAATCAATCAAAGAGCCCTTGATTTACCTCGGTACAGTCGCTGGGGGATAATGGTCGTCATTAGTGATGAAGAGTAAATATGACACAGAATCTTGTCATGTGAATATCATCACAGCACACCACTGTACACAACCAAATGTGACCTCTGCTTTTAACCTATCACCAAAGTCAGCAGGGGGCAGCCTTAGGCACACAGGCAGTAGTGTGAGGATCCAGTGCCAGGCTCAGAGCACCTCAGTGGCAACTTGGCAACTGGTGGACTCAAACCTGAAGCCTTCCAGACCCAGGTCCACTTCCTTAACCACTAAGCCACCATCGGGGGCAGTGGTGGCTTAGGCAGCTAATACATTATTAGAAGACGTATGAAGAAATAATATATAAGAAATACCATGTAAATATAAACTGATGTCTTATTTATCACATATTTTGATTATATATGTCAAGTCATTTCTTAGCAGGCTGCCATGTTCAACCACTGAGTTTTGACATTAGTCAGCAGCAGCATTTCTTTTTTTATTGCTGAGAAATGTTATGAGCTGGCATTTGCAGGAAATATATAAATAGGAGGATTATATTTAATTGATTTTGGTATCATTTCCAGCAAGTTCCTTCCTCTTCCTCTGTTTTTTTTTTTCTTTTCAGTACAATTAAGTATAACTCTAAAAGCCACTGTGTACAAACTCGCTCAGTTTTGGAAAAGAAAAGTAACAATAGCACCCTCTCACTTTCTGTCAAATGATTGATTGTAAATGGGATTTATTCAATTTAAAAACTCTTGGATATATTATTCTAAGCATGCAGAGGAAAGAGGTAAACAGTTCACTGTATTGATCTTTAAATGCATTTGGATTTGTTTCTTTGTGGTTCATTGTGTGAACAGACATTTTTAAACTCAGCAGTGAGAAATGGTCCTCTGTCAAACAAATGCTGGTTGTTTTGAGTATATAAATAAATCGAAAAGCAAACATAAGAGTGTGCTCTTTACATTTCTCCCAGGAGCAAACACCAACATTAATATTGGTTCATCAGACAGTGAGATTAAATCCAGCCACATATAAACTAAAGAGCACATATATTAAGTTTGTATTCAAGCTTGTATTCATACATTTTTCAAAGAACTCAGCAACCAAAACTTTTGACAGATATTGAGATACGTTCTAACGTTGCTGATGTAACGTGCCCTCAAGGGAAACATCAGTACCAAGGACTCAAAAACAGAATTATGCAATATTCATGGGCCATGCCAATGCTAAAAGCTTTTTTGGAGCCACTTCTGCACAAGTAATAGTAACAGTGAAACTGTAAATCTTACACACTGCAAGAAAAACAACGGCCACAAAAATCCATCTGTCAAACACTAACGTTTGTTGCAAATGTGTTCCTCTAGATAAACAAAGGTCAAGTGCATTGTTCTCGATCTTTATTGGTGATTACCCAATAAAATGCATGACAAACAGTGTCAGTATCATAAGGCTAACTTCCAAGGTGTAGCATTAGGCTAATCAAAAGGTGGCTTGTGTCCCACATATGGCCCAGACACAACCTCAGAGTGGTCATTAAACCAACAGTGGCCTAGTAGCCACCGTAGTCTAGCAACATACATCAGTTCAACCATGCATGGGGTTTAAAGAAGTGCTAAAAAGCAAGCTGATGAATTTCAGCTTTTGACAAGTGATAATATTTACCTTTACTTTACCTTTTGACAAGTGATAATATTTACCTTTTATTTTTTATTATTTTAAGTAGTGCATAATTGGGCAGCAAAAAAGGTAAAATATCTTCCACATTTTTAAATAAAAGCAGAGAAGAAAACAGTGGTGTGTAGTAGTGCCTGAATTAAAGCATTGCAAAGCATTAGCATTTCAGGGGCGTATAGTAGGAGTTATTGTAAGACCATTTTACTATGCCAAACTAAAGTTCGGGAATCTGACCTTCAAAAGGCAGCCAAAAGAAATTGCGTATATCAACAATACATCTATGAATCCTTGCTCATTTTTTTTCCAACCTTTCTTTACATAATTCCAGGTTCACTTCAAATGTCACTACATCATTCTGATGTGACAGCTGAATAAACAAGCTTGACATTTTTACCACCCCTTATACAACCCCTAATCCTCCAATATGTCCCATAACCCCACCTCTCTTCCTTCTTTTTCCATTTCCTACTGACAAATACAGTTTAGTGCCCACCAGCTGGCAGCTTGTCACTCTACTGACAGCAGGGTTGCTGCTAATGGCAGTGGAGGTTTGATGGAGCCACTGGAGCAACCCATGACAGGTAAATGAAGGGTACCGGGTTGAACATTAATGACACGTACATAGACACATTTTTTGTATAACAATGAGCTTGTGTTGATGAGGTATCTTACTCAACTTCCATAAAAGCGGAATTTCAAAAAGAAGATTCATTTTTATAACTATTAATCTATGCATCTAGTTACATAAGAGCACAATAAAAGACAGTATAATATTATTGAAGATCGGCAGCACCAGAAACTCTGGGTGCTCTGCTCTATAGTACACAGAGCGAGAGCTCTCAAACAAAAACAAATTAAATAAATAAATATAACACATTGTTTTTGTGGTAATTGTTGATTTTTTTGTAAACCTTTTTTTTTTTAATTGCCAGCTTAAATTGAAGGATTTTCATTTGTTTGTTAACTTTCAGTTTTGCTTCACAAACCAGCGTCAAATTATTCTTATAACTATTCTCGATAGCAACATATAATTTATTGTTTATTCCAATTTTGAAAACAAAACAATGGTAGCTATTTATTGCACTTTGGCTTTTTAGTTTTATATAGTTAGTTGTAAATGTTATCACACTCCTCCTCTCTGTGAACAGGAGGCCATGTGGACAGGCAGGGAGCCTCATTTCCTGGGCTCTCCTCTTACATTTAGACATGTGAGAGAGCAGGGCGACTTGCCTCTGTGCTTTTCTACAGGCAGGGGTGGGCTCCCTAAAATTAACACAAGCAGACTGCTTCACTCCCAGCCACATAGCTTTCATCTTTGGCCAATGACAACTGCCCGCTGTGGACTGCTTCTCTCAGCTGTTCACAATGTGGAGTGAGCTAGCCACAACTTTTACTGTGTTCTCTCATTTGGTCATTCGGTTCTTTCCTTCTTTGGTTCTTTTGTTTTGCCCCTTCTTCTGTGATTTATTATTCCACGTTGTCTTTTTCCTTTCTTACATTTGACCAGCATTATATTTACACTTTCAATCACTGCACTACGCCCATGTTCCTCCTTCACATTAGCATTTGCACTTGAATGACGAGCACCACACCAGTGTCGAGTCAGCACGGTGGCAGCAGTGATTGTATTTTAATAACACGCTGCCTCATTCTTAAAGACTCCCATTTCCACTGAGATAGACATTATACATATGTCATCAAGGTCTTGCTTTGTTGGTGGTAGGACTAAAATTAACACGTGTCACACTGAAGTACAATGACAAACCACGGTGGCAACATGACAGCAGGACTGGACTACAGCTGTCCATCATGTAAGTACGTGGCCACATGGTGTGCTGTTAAAGCATGCATACGCAAAACTGCATGTAACCTTAAGACGAGTACACACTCAGACATTAATACTGGTCTATGGTTCGATGTACTAAATATTTATTCAATATAAGGTTAACAAATCACATTTTTGAAACAATAACACAAGTATACCTTCAATCCGGTTGACCTAATGTCAAGATGATAGATCTACAGACTCAGGGTTTGATTGATAAAACATTACATTTGACAATATTGATATGAAATCCCCAAAATCTTAAGGAAAAGAAAAACCTAAGTTGCTTAATTAATCACCCAAAAAATCTGAAACTATAGCTCAAACTGCACTAAACATACATACAACATACTATCATTCATGTTTTTGTAATCACATACTTTAAATCCCCCACCCACCCAGTCTCCTTTACACTGAGATCACAACTGCGATATCTGCTTGTTGCTGCAGGTTAAGGAAATAGCACACGGATAAGACTTCAATGAGGCACTCAGTAATACGCAAAGGAATGCAAGTACAGTTTGGTAACTAAAGAGAGTTCAAGACCTTGGCCCACTAATATGTAAGCACAGTGGATTTGAAATAGTGTTTTATTCAGAGACTCCACCTATTGACCTATTGAAAACTTCTAAACATCTTTAGTACACTGCTGCAGTTGTGCTTCCTGTTTGCCACTCCGGGTCTAGTGGGATTTTAAAGCCTACATCTACAACTTGTACAGCACAAACTTTTTTGCAAGAACACTAATGAAGTTGGTACTATTTTCACATTGTACATTATTCTGACACACTCACCACTACTCCTTCAACTTTAATTTTAATTTACACACCGCAGTTCCTACAAAAGTACTATTATTGTTGTACCTAGACAAATAAAATTGCAAATCAGCGCAATTTGCCCACAGTGGAACAAGTACAGGAAATATTAAAAATAGAAATGTGTTTGCCTTGCTGTCCAATGAAATGGCCGTGCAACCACTACTTTTAGAACCACTGACATTCAGACACACTACACAATACAGTTTATGTAATTATTATTTTTGCCCATTAAGTTGGGCTCTTTTACTTTCCAAATGATTCCTACAGATATTATTTGAAGCAGGTGTTTATAAAAAGAAAGTCAAGAAATTAGGTAAATATTTGCCCCAACAAAACTTGCATTACTCAAATTAATGTTGAAAGACATCGTTGAACTTTTCCCTGCAGTTAAACTTATTGCCTTGTTTGGTGACTGGGACACAGAAAGAATCCCTACTGAGATGACGCACAGCTTGAACTGTGGAAACAACAGAGCCCAGTTCATCAGAAAATGTACTATATTTATACATATGACGACTGGGGTATTTAAAAGTTAAATAAGTGTCATTTTGTGTGCTTAATGTGGATTTAGCTTTCAAATATTTCAAGTTGTCGAAGTATGCGTCCTCCTAAAAAGTGCTTCACAAAAAAAAAAAAAAAGTTCAAACTTAACCGACCGTTAATGAGCGTGACGGAAATTATGTCACCGTTTTAAATTCACTTTCTTCTTACCTTTAATACTGATTCCGAGTCCTCCAACATCTTGCTTGGTCACTCTCACCGTGCGCTTCACGTTGGTGATGGTTTCCGGGACTGGGGACACGCTCAGGTTCGGAGGGTCTCCGTTCAGAGCACCGACTGGGGTCGGGTTGGGTTTCGCCGGCTCCGCGGCACCCTCGCCGGGATTAACCGTGAGCGCGTCGTCGGTCAGAGTGGCCAACACACGGATCCAACGGTCCACGGCCACACGAAGTTCCAGCAGTCCCGTCTTCTGCTCCTTCATCGCGGCAGCCATGTTCAACGCATTCCTGGAATAACTCTGGACGGGCTGGCAGTCCTGTAGAAAGATATGGGGGTGGAGGGGGTGGGGGTTGCGAGCGTGCGTGCGTGTGTGTGTGTGAAGACAACTTTTGAATATATTATCATTGTAAAGACACTAAAACAGACAACCGTTGTTGTTGTTGTTGTTGTTGTGTTTTAAGTTAAAGTGATTGTAAATGGCTGTGACAGATCTGTCCAATATCTGACCCAGCGGTCAAAATTGATCCTTACCCATGTTTCGTTTGGTGCATTCTGCCACCTTATGGGCTGGAGTGTGTGCACATTTTTTTAAAATTAATAAATTGTGATTTCATTTGTATGACAACAAAATATTTATTTCTAAATAATCTAAAGACCATTTGTTGAAAAATTTAAACATTCTCCAAAACCCCATACTACTGGTTTTAGCAGCAATAAACTATGCTTTAAGGAGTATTGGCCCTCTATTCTGGTGACACGGCAAAAGATATGCATAACTGCAGAAGGTAAACATTAAAACACGTAAGCATCACAAAAAAAAAAAAAAACAAGCTGATGAAGCAGTTCATATTTCTATGCTCTTCTGCATCTGCAAGAGATTTGCTCACTCTTCAGCTCTGTGTGTGTGTGTGTGTGTGTGTGTGGCACCATGTGCTACAGCTGCTCCTCAGCAGGTGAAACAGCAAATAAGTTACAGCACCCAGTTTTAGAAAACACTCTCTCTGGGTGGGCCACCAAGCAAAAGTTGCTGTTTTAAAAATGCATTGATTGAAAAAAGAAATTTTCTTTTCTACAAAATTGGACATTTTACAAAATTAAAAGATGAAAACGTCCAAACTTTTCATGCTGAACTTAAAATCTACATGTTGTTTAATTTTTAATAAACAGGTAATTTATGTTAATAGTTCATTCTCTGCTCTTGTTGAACATACCACACATTTACATGAGCTTGTTTGGGCCAGGCAGATATATTATGTTGTGTCTCCGCCTTGTGGCAAAACTGTGTTATTACTTTTCCGTGAAAATTGCTAAGCACCTGTCACATTATATACAGTATATAAGTGTACAGATAACGTTGTTCGTTTTTACCAGAGAAATGTGGTCTGAATTAAATATCAGTTTTTATTCCTTATATATTTTATATAATAAGCATAAATTATACAAAAATGTAATACAAATAATAACATTTTATTTTTACTAGTACTATTAATGATATTATTGGTGTTATTTTTATGATTTAAAGATAATCAATTTTCATAATGGAAGCCAATGTAAATGAGGCTTTTAATGAGGTCATATATCTGTTCATTGTTGTTCTGGTCCTACATGATCAGCTGCTGCAGTATGTCTGAGGATTAGCCTTAAGTACTTCTATTATTTACAACCATATGTTGCTGGACATAAATGTAAAATATAAAAATATAGAAATATAAACATATATATGTTAAAGGTGAAAACAACTATAAATATTAGGTTGAGGATATTATAGAGATTATAGATGTATGTATGTATTAACAAGACACAACTACTTCAACAAAAATATACATGGGCTGTGTATTCAGCATTTTCACCAAATATTCTTACCATGTGACCTCCCGTCCTTACATCTGTCGGTCTATTTATCTCCTGATCTGAGTGGCAGCTGGTTGGCCTGTCTGTCTCAACAGCAGACCCTTAATATTTTTTTAGGCAGCAAAAATAATCGGATTTGCTGAAAACCATTTCTCAATTTTGTGCAACTTGTGTTGTAGATTTATTTAGGATTAGCATTAATGCTAGTATGGTGGCAAAATGCACACCCTTATGTTGTTTTGTATGAAAGAGTTACTTTGATAAGAAAGAGGAATGAGAATGAGAAACAAAACAAATGTCCATTGTCAAAGTGTTACATATACCTTTTTTCCCCCTTACCTTCTATCTTACCCTTCGGTAGCTCAGTTGGCAGAGTGGAGCACTATAGAGGATACATGAAAAATGCTTAGGTTGCTAGTTCGATTCCTCAAAGGAAACTTTATTTTTATTTTACAAATGCATTCAAGTAGTGAATTTAACTATTAGGTCTCAATAAAGTACTTCCTTGAATTTGTTTGTGTTTTCTTTGTTTGGTTTAAATTTAACAATAACATGCAGACAAATATAATAAATAAATAAATGCATTTCCTGCTTAATATTAATGTTCTCAGGTCGCTCAAATGAAATGTGAAAAATGAGTTCAAATGCATTTCCTGCTTAATATTAATGTTTTGGAGAGAGACTCAGGTCGCTCAAACAAAATGTGAAAAATGGGTTCGGCTTTGTGATCAATAAATGTCAAGCCGGACAAACCATAAAGCACACAAAAACACACTTGCACAATTAATGGTACCATCAGTCTCAACTCTCCAGTGACAGCAGACAGTTGGGTTGCCTGGACTCTGATTAATTTCAGTTTTCGGCCCAACTCCCTCCATAACCTCCTGCTCCATCCACCCATTCATCCATCCGTCCCCGAGTCAACTGATGACAACAGCTCCAGAGGTCTGCCATATGGACGAGAGGTGGACTGTCTGATCGTCCTCATCCCTCAAATGTGTGTAGTTTGTGAAGAGCATAGTGAATTACAAACATTTGACATTCAACTTCTTTTTCACATTAAGAATATTCTCATTTAATTCCCTTTATTCTCATTTCCATTATTCTTAGTTTACTATATATAATTTATATACTATATAAATACATTTACAGTATATAGTATATAATTTATATATTATATTCTAATTTAGTTTACCTATCTAATTTTATTTACTTTATTCTCATTTCATTTACATTATTATTATTTTTATTATTTTTATTCTATTTTCAATACATATTTTGGGTTCAGGTCAATTTTCATAATTCCATTTCATTCTGTGTTACGTTTTCTGAAGCTTTATTTACCTTTGCTCTTCTTGATAATTTTGTCATTTTATTGATGTTTTTCCTTAGTAAACGGTGAACCTTGAGAACTTTGTTATTTCAAAATGTTCATGCCACACTGAGTTGTTCTTTTAATTTTGTCACTATTTTGCAAAATGTGTCAACTGTACCATGTACCATGTACATGTACCATGTGAACTTTACTTGTTATTAGGTGTCAGGTGACCTACTATCTTCACAGTGCCCTGAAAATTAACCAAAAAAACTACAAAAGAAGGAGCAGAAAACAACACCAGCTGACGGAAAATATGTAAATAATATAATGTATTCTGAAAATATAAATGACAGTCTGTTGAGAGAGCAGACTGTGGACAGACACACCACGCTGCCCCCCAGGACACGGCATAATAATGAATAAGAACTTGGGGGTGATAATGAGAGGTCAAACAGAAGAATACGACTCTGGCTTGTACACCTGTGGCCCACCTTCTGCCATCACAACCGGCCCAACGATCCACTCCACTCCACTCAACACCCCCCACCCCCACCCCCACACGACATTCAGTTTGTCTCATTACTGACATAATGTAAAGGTATATATGCATGAGCCAGGAGCAGGAGTGATGAGACAGGGCAGAGGGATTGAAAGATCTACATAATAGGGCTATCTCTCACTCCATCTGGTCATGTGTTCATAATCTGCCCCTCCTCCTGCTTGATGCTAATCTGCCTGTCTGATTGGTGGTTAAAAATTAATCTCTAATAAAAAAACTTGGAATTCTCCTCTCGTTTCTTAGGTGAAAGAAACACAACAATAAACTACAGGTGTGTGTGTGTGTGTGTTTGAGAAAAGCACTTTAATAGTGGTTTGTCTGCACACACTAAATGAGCACACTTACGTCCGTAGGAGAACTGATGTGAGCACTTTGCAGCCTCAGGAGAATTAACCAGGCGTCTGCCACCTGACCCTGTTGACTCCAACCACTCTAGGGCTCAGCTGATCCACGTGCCGTGTGGCCCCGACATGAGGAGGACACAAAAGCAGCAGGAGTGGGAGGAGGCCGTGGACAGAAGGACCAGCAGGCTATGAATGATTATGATGACGAGGGCCATCTTGCCCGGTTTCTGTGCGCTGCTCCTTCCTCCCCCAGAAAACCTGGCCTTGGCCCTGGCTCCCACATGGACAAATGGTCTGGCTCTGGAGGTTAACGTGGGTCGTCAGGGTCTGGTCTGACAGTTGTTCAGGGAAAAATAGGAGCAGAGGTGGGAAGGAACCCACGTATCAATATAAATCAATGACACATTATGAGCGAAGCCTTTGGATTGTAAAGAGGGCCGAAGAAAAAATCTCAGGAAAACGAGAGAGACTGAAACGATCAATAGATGGAACGGGTTTTAGTCCTGATGAATTCTGCAGCGAGACATAAAGAAGTGAATGGTTCTAGATAGTTCTGGTAGATAGATAATTCTTAGACATTACTAATCTGAGGACACGTCACAGGTCGTTTTGTTAGATTTTACCCATGATTCACAGTCAGCCAGTTTGCACCAGTCTGTATTTGTCACTGTCATATGTTTGACTTCTCTTTGACAACAGCCAATGAAAAACAGAGATTAGGAGACGACAAGAAATAGAGACAATATCAAAAAAGGGACAGTGGAAGTGAGCTTGGCTGGTATATACTCCAATTTTTATTTATTATTTGTTATCTGTCAAGAGGTGTAAGGGATAAGGCCGTCAAATGATTAAAAACTTTAATCTGATTAATCACAGATTATTTTTTTAATCTCATTAATCACGGGGCAGTGGTTTTAAGATGTTTCTTCTTGATTTAAAAGGTAGATTTATATATGTGATATACGCGATATGGCCCAGTTTTAAAGGTCACCACCGCCATGTTTGATCGTGGGTTAATTGCCGACGGTTTCGTATCTAATTTGGCGGCGGAGCTCAGCAGGTTTCGCTGTCAGATGAGCGCGGGTCAGACGGTGGGTCAGGTCAGCTGATTTGCTGTGTAACAGTCCTGCTGGTGTGATTAAAGGCACCCTGACAAAGACCCTGAAATATGATGAAGGAGGAGGGGGAGGAGAAGGGGAGGCAATGACCAGCTGTCACACAGGGGAGAAAAATAAGGGGCCGGGGAAATCCCACCACCCTCTGAGTCTGCTCTTATCTGACTCCTGCTAACTGACAAGTCGTGTTTTTGTTAAGCTGTCACAGAGCTGGTTGACCAGATGAGTTAGGTGAGCACTTTGTCATTAAAGTCAAAGGTTTGGTCTGGAACGACTCACTTGTGATCATTTATCAGTGAAAGGAACCTTGGATGAGTTGGTTCGTTGAA